GGGGGGGGGAGAATTCATTTAACGTCGCATGACGCTTAAGCAGTGGCGGCGATTCACTTAACAATCAGTGGCGAGAGAGGTTGTTAAAAACGGGGACGAGACTCACTTAATGACAGTCTCGCTTAGGGGCAGACATTGGCAGGACGCAATAACCGTAGTAAGTCCATGGCCGCAATCCAAAGGCAGTAATTCCCCACTGCTAAGCAAGGGGGGATCATGGTCCTCGATCTTACGACTGCCACAGAACCCGAATTTTTTTTTCCGCATCACTTGGAACGGGTCACAAAACGAACTGTTGTAAATCGAGGACTCCCTGTAATGAATACATCGTTAAGCCAGGTGGTCGTTCAGTCCACCCTGCCCCGTTTTACGACCTTGGCTTGCCTCCATCCTTAAGCGAACCCAGGAGGCTTGCTCTGCAGAGGGCTGGACTGGATGGCCTCAGGGTGCGCCCCCATAGTAGGCACGTGGACCCCCAATGCCGGACGGACGGCATTGGGGGTCCACGTGCCTTCGGGCGAGAGCGATGGAATATGTAGTCCAAGGAAATGGAGTCCAACCTATTGTTTTTGCATTGAGAAGAGAGATGGGCCGACGGACTGCCCCATTCCGGCCGGTTTTCCACCGGCAGCCGAGGGTGGAAAGCCTCGAGGCCCCGAGAACCATGCCCGGAGGCGGCTTACCTTCCCAGGGCCCCCGTCGCAGAGCGAGGACTGACCTCCACCCGCCGCCCGCACGTCCGCTGCGGTTCAGAAATGAGCGACGCGTCGCCACTCGATGACGTCACGAGCCCGCTTCCCACCGTCGCGCGGTTTGTTCGGCCATACATCCCGGCGTCCTTTGGAGGGGGGGAAGACTTCAAATCCCAGCATTCTCAGCCATGACGAGGGAGGGTGAGGGGTGCTGGGAGTTGAAGGCCTGAGCCTCTGAGGAGCCATGGTGTGAAACGGTTCTCGAAATGGATGCGCGGTTTAAGGCCAAAAACAAAACAAAACACGGCCTTAGTTTAAGAATATAGAAGTCTTCGAACCTGACAGCTTTAAGACTTGTGGACTTCAACTCCCAGAATTCCTCCTCCAGTCATGTTATCTCAGTAATTCTGGGAGTTGAAGTCCACAAGTCTTAAACTTGCCAAATTTGAAGTACCTAGGCTGAGAAGACGCAGGACGCATGCGCACTAGGTAGAAAGCAAGTTTTAGGAATAAAGGATCCAGGCTGGGAAGATGTTCTCAAAGCGCATGCGCGCTTTAGGTGAGGGAAAGGGCTCAGTTTAGAAATAAAGAGCGCAATAAAGTCAGCGGCGCTTCCAGAGCGTTCAAAAGACTTCAACTTCCAGAATTTTCAGCCGTGACGACGGAGGGGGAGGGACTCTGGGAGTTGAAGGCAGCTACCTCTGAGAAGGCCACAGGTTGGGAAACAGTTAAAGCGCATGCGCATTTCAGGATAGGAAAACGTAAAGAAAACGTTCTTAACACATATGCGCACTTCAAGCAAAAAAAAAAAAAAGACATAGAGCCCAGCGTCTGGTTCTGGAGCCAGCGGCATTTCCGGAGCGTTGAAGACTACAACTCCCAGAATTCTAACCCGTGATGGCGGAGGGGTAGGAATTGAAGGCCGCGCTGTCAGGAGACCTAGACTGGGAAAACGTTGTCAAGGCGCATGCGCGCGTCAAAAAAAACCGGCCTCAGTTTAGACATGAAGAGAGCTCAAGTTCTAGTTCTGACGTCAACGCCTCTTCCCGAGCTTCGAGGACTTCAAATCCCAGAATTCTCAGCTGTGATAAAGATGGCGAGGTGTCAGAATGCTCTGGCTGGGAAGACGCATGCGAACTTCAGGATAAACGCCTCAGTTTATTTACAAATAAAGACCGCCGCGGACTTCCAATCCCAGATTTCCCAGTCAAAACGATGCAAGGGGAGGAACTCTGGGAAGGGAAGGCCGCGCCATTCATGAGGGCTCGAGGGGGGGCGAAAGAGAGACGGGGAGAGAGAGAGAGAGAGAGAGAGAGAGAGAGAGAGAGAGAGAGAGACTTTCTCGGCGCACATGCGCACTTGAGGAAAACGGAAAGGCCTCAGGGAAAAAAACATTCTGTTTAGGGAGTGTTCGCCTCCATCCCTCCATGCTAAACCCGAATTCTTCTCCCTCCGTCGCAACTTTGATTAAAAAGACCCGGGAAACGCTGGACTACGACTCCCGTCGTCCTTTGCGCGCGCACTTCCCCACCCCCGCCGGCCATCTTGTCCCCGCGAAAGCCGGGATTCGCCGCCGCCTACAAAACCGGGCCGAAGAGCCCCGCCTCTTCCGGCGCTGCGGAGAGTCTGAGGAGAATCGCCGGAGCGGGAGGAGAAGCTCGCAGTCGGCCGCGACGTTGCCTAACGCCGCAAAGCCCGGCGAGGTGAGGCCGAGGCTTCTCTCCCGGAACCGACGTGGTAGGCCCCGAAGGCCATCGGGTCTCTCCTTTATCTGGGGTGGGGGGGGAGCGGACTACAAAGCCCATCTTCCCCCGCCGGCCCCTCTTGAAGGGGTGGAGGAGCTCTTTTTTTCCCGTCCTTCCCATGTTACCTCACGACGCCCGTCTTCTCCAAGAACGAACTCTTGGCGCCGCCCGGCTGGGGAGGATGGGAGTTGTTATCCCCCCCACCACCACCACCATCTTTCTGGCTGCTCTGATTCTGTACGGGTCTTCTGCTTGAGCAGGGGGTTGGGCTAGATGACCTCCCAGATCCCTTCCCACTCTGTCATTCTGTGATTCCGTAAGGGTCTCCTGGTGGAGCAGGAGGTTGGACTAGATGACCTCCCAGGTCCCTTCCATCTCTATGATTCTGTAAAGGTCTGATTGAGCAGGGAGTTGGACTAGATGATCCCCGAGGTCCCTTCCAACCCTGTCATTCTGTAAAGGTGTCCTCCTTGAGTGGGGTTCAGCTAGATGACCTCCAACATCCCTTCCAACTCTGTTCCTTCTGTAAGGGTCTCCTGTTTGAGAAGTGGGTTGAATTAAATGATAGATGATTGAAAGAGATAATAGTTAACAAAGAGGTGGATCAATGGTTGATACAGACAAATACTAAATAGAAGATGAATGGATGGATGGATGGATGGATAGATGATACAAATATTAAATAGAAGATAAATGGATGGATGGATAGATGATACAAATACTAAATAGTGGATAGATAGACAATAGATGGATGGATAGACGTGTATGTGTGTATATGTGTGTGTGCGTGTTTATGTGTATATGTTTATGTCTCTATACAGTCACATCTACCTGCCACCCACCTGCCTCCAAAGCACCTCCAGGCAGCTTATCTGGGTTTCCGTCCACGCCAGGTTTCAGTCCCAAAAGTCACCCTGGGCTTGGTAGGAACCAGTCCTGCCACCTATAATCTTCTTTCCTTCCTCCATGGGGTATATAGTCAGTTGTCTTCCTGGGTTGTAGGAAAGCTGCCGAGGCTGGTACGCTTAGGACCTCTGCCTTGGCGTGTGAGGCTTGCCCTGTTTTATGACGTTTCTCGCCACCACGCTTAACGCCATGGTCATTTAACGTCCGGGAGTGGCTTTGAGTTAGATTTAGAGAGAAAAGAGGAAGAAAAAGTCCCTTTGTTTCAAGGCCCTTTTAACTTGAAGTCATCGCTAAACGAGTTGTCATAAGTCGAGGACTATCCTCCGAGTCTGTTACTGAGCATCAGTGGATGCTGCCACTGTCGTAAATGCGAACAATAGTAATAAGCCCCATTTATCAGTGGCGTAACTTCAAACAGTTACTAAGCGAACGGTTGTAAGTCGAGGTAACTAGTTTGGTCCTTGCTTGTTTCTCCACTGATCAACTTTTAGTTTTTAGCTGGTCAATTTTTACTTTTCGGCTGATCAGTTTTTACTTTTTTGCATTTTAAGTTTTTCACTGATCAAGTTTTAGCTTTTCCCTGTTCAAGTTTTACTTTTCAACCAATCAATTTTTAGTTTTTAGTGCAAAAGTTTCAATCATTTCTGCTCAAGCCGCCTTTAAAATTTGTAAGTAAAGCATTTTATCCTTTTTTTTGTCCCTTTCTTTAAAGTTGTGTTGCTCGTGTGTTTTTTAAAATTTCTATTTTTGGCCTTTAATTGTCGGGTTCCCAAAATAGAAGCAGCTATAAAGTCTTTTCCTCTAATTTAAAACTGGTTTTTGTGGGTTTTTATTTCTGTTTTCATCTACAGAGCCCAGCTCTGCCTTAAATCTCTTGAATGTCATTAGATATATTTAGCTCCCTGAATGGAATTTAACTGTCTGCCATGTTCTTGGCTTGAAGTTATTCTGTATATTTTATACAGACACAGTAACATTTTCCTTCAGGGAGTCCTCGACTTCACGACGACTCATTTACCCACCACACAAAGTTCCAGTGGCACTTGGAAGAAACCGGGCCTTAGCACCGTTTGTCACACTTAACACCCGTTGCAGAAATTACCCCCCACCCCCACCCCCCGATCGACATCCAGATGCTTGGCCACCGACTCGTATTTACAACAATCGCAGCATCTCGGGGAGGGGGATGTCACGTGATTCCTGCCCCTTTTTTGCGACCTTCGGATCACTTATTTGAACAACTTGCCGGGATACCTGGGGACCAGAAACGTCGTAAAATGGGGCAGAACTCGTTTAATGGAGGTTTCCCTTAGCAACAGAAATTTGGGGGCCTCCGTTACTGGTCGTAGGTCTTCTTGTAGACACCGCGGTGTCTTTACCATATGGTTTCTGTAAGGGTCTGCTCCTTGAGCAGGGGGTTGGACTAGTTGACCGCCAAGGTAAAGGACTGAGGGTCTCCAGGTGGAGTAGGGAGTTTAATTAGATGACCTCTGAGGAGCCTTCCAATTCTGTCATTCTGTAAGAGTCTCTTGATCAAGCAGAGGGTTGGACTAGATGTCCTCCCAGGTCCCTTCCAACTCTTGTCATTCTGTAAGGGTCTCCTGCTTGAATGGGGTTGGACTAGATGACTTCCCAGGTCCCTTCCAACTCTGTCATTCTGCATGGGTCTCCTGCTTGAATCACAGAATGACACAGTTGGAAGGGATCTTGGAGGTTATCTAGTCCAACCCCCTGCTCCACCAGCAGACTTTTACAGAATTGTAGAACGACAGAGTGCGAAGGGACCTGGGAGGTCTTCTAGTCCAGCGGTCGCCAACCGGTGGGCCTTTTGGTGGGCCTGCTAAATTGCTATTTTTCTGACCATCATCTGTTCTTCTGTGCCAGCTAGGAAGCAGGAAATGGTTGGATTTCTTGCTTTCTAGCTAGTCTTTAGATCTTCAGCTCTGCTTTTAAGCACAGCCGAACCTCCTTTAGGACTGAGTTTGCTTGCTAGCAAATTTTATGAGTTTGTTTGCAAGCAAATTTTATGTGACAGACTGAGCTAGCCAATGGCAGATAGATAGATTTATGAATGAATCTGTGATTCTATGAGCAACTCATTCTGCTTGCTTTGCCTGATTTTGGGTGAAAGTTGCTCTTTTTTAATAAAAAAAATTCAACATTTATAATATTTACATACAAGCCATGCCCAGCCAGTCACATGACCACCAAGCCACACCCACAAATTAGGCCACGCCCACAGAACCGGTTAGTGGTCCCTGGGGTTTAAAATTATGAGTTTGGTGGTCCCTGAGGTCGAAAAGGTTGGAGACCCCTGTTCTAGTCCAACCCCACTCAAGCTGGAGACCTTTACAGGATGGCAGAGTTGGAAGGGACCTCAGAGTTCATCAGCAGGAGACCCTTACAGAATCATAGAATAAGAGTGTTGGAAAGAACCTGGGAGGTCATCTAGGTCAACCCTCTGTTCCAGCAGGAACCCCAGATTTATGTTGTTAAGTGAAACATTAGCGAAACATTGCTCCCATTCGACAATCTTTCTGGCCACCGTTGTGAAGCGAATCTTGCAGTTCGTCGGTGGAAAAACGGTCCGGAGTCCCTTTTTTCCCCCCATGCTATGCTGATTTTGAACTGTCACTAAATGAGGGGATGTCAATCGAGGACTGCCTCTGGAGAAAACGACAGTGTTTTCCCCCCGCTAGTTTTAAGTCCAAAATTTGTAAGGAAAGGAATTTTGAGTTGGAGGTTCAAGCGGCGTCTTTATGTAACACAGCTAGTCTGGTACTTCGGAAAGGTGATCTCGGAATTCTGTTGCTAAGTGACACGGTTGGAAACTGAGGAATATTATTGGGGTTAGGAGGGAGGGGGTTTGTGGAGAGAAGGAAGAGGAGGATTAAGGGGTTCTTGGTGCTCTCTAAGCTGGTCGGGTGATTTGCTTGCAGGCGTCTCATGACTGAACTAGGGAACATCATCAGTGTTAGAGGAGAGTAGGGTTGTTCTCAGTTTGTATATCATCCCATTTAGCACTGATGATGTTCCCTAGTTGGGTCATGAAACATCTGCAAGAAAACAACCAGGCCCAGAGAGCACCAAGGACCCCACAGTCTGTCTTCGTTCTTTCCTTCCCTTCCCTTCCCTTCCTTCCTTCCTCCCTTCCCTGATGATGTTCCCTTGTTGGGCCAGAAAACAAGCTCAGAGGGCACCAAGGCCTCCATAGTCCTCCTCCAAATAACAGGGACCTTGGGGGTCTTCTAGTCCAACCCCCTGCTCGGGCAGGAGATCCTTCTCCCCTTTCCTCCTCCTCCTCATAACAGAAGTAGAAGGGACCTTGGAGGTCTTCTAGCCCAACCCGCTCCCCAAGTGGGAAAACCTGACCCCAACGGTTGTCCAATCTCTTCTGAACCAACTCTTCTTTAAACAAACAAAAACAAAAATCCAGAATTTGCTGTCTGGGACACTTGGCCTGGAAAACAGGGTGCACCTGCAGGAAGGGAGCAGCCAATTATGGGGAGAGGCTTGGCACACCTTTCCACCTGGAGCCAAATGGGGAAAGGCGTTGAGCGCCGAGCCTGCTGGGCTCTTCCCGAAGTTGCCTCACCCCCCCGCCCACCCACCCGTCCTTGTCCTCACCCAGGTAAAACGTTTCTTTTCTCCCTCTTTGGCTTTCTTGTGCATTTTCTGGGTGCTTTTCTTGCAGACGTTTCGTGACCCAACTAGAGAACATCATCAGGACTAGAAGAGAGAAGTTATGGAGAGGAGGAGTATGGGAAAGGAAAAGATGGATGGGAAGGAGGGAGGGAGGGAGGAAGAAGCGAACGAATGAACAAAGTTGGCAGTTTTCTTGCAGATGTTTCATGACCCAACTAGGGAATATCATCAATGCTAGAAGGGAGAAAGATGGGGGGGGGGAGGAAGAAAAGGGGGAGGGGGAGGGAGGGACTGTGGGGTCCTGGGTGCTCTCTGAGCTGGGTGGTTTCCTTGCAGACATTTCATGACCCAGCTAGGGAACGTCATCAGTGCTAGAAGGAAGGAAGGCCAGGAAGGTCGTACAATGGAGCACAACTCACTTCACCAACGGCCCAGATTTATCAGCCGAAATGCTGTCGATAGCACGCCACAATTTTCATCCCACAAAAGTAGTGCCTGTTGCGACTGTCGTAAGCGCAAAGACTGGTTGCTGGGCGCAAAACGAACTTCAAGGACCATGGAGAGAGAGAGCGGATAATCTGTTCACAACTCAGCTGCAGGGGGTTGGGTTTGATGACCTCCCAGGTCCCTTCCCACTCTGTCATTCTGTGATTCCATGAATTTCCTGGTGGAGCAGGGGCTGGACTAGATGACCTCTGATGTCCCTTCCAACTCTTGCCATTCTGTAAAGATGGCTTGCTTGAATTGGGGGTTGCACTAGATAAGGGGTAGGGAAACTTGGCTCGTCTATCACTGATGGACTTCAACTCCCAGAATTCCTGAGTGAGCCATAAAAGGTTCCCCATCCCTGGCCTACTGGCTTTTCAGTTGTGAGGGAAACCCATTTTTGACTTGAACGGGACTGTTTAATATACAAATGTAGGACATATAAAGAATATGTCCTACATTTGTATATTAAACAGTCCCGTTCAAGTCAAAATGGATTTCCCCCACAACTGAAAGTCCTACATTCCAGGGATAGGGAACCTTTTATGCCTCACTCAGGAATTCTGGGAGTTGAAGTCCATCAGTGATAGACGAGCCAAGTTTCCCTACCCCTGCACTAGATGATCTCCCGGGTCCCTTCCAACACTGTCAGTTTATTATTCTGTAAAGGTCGTTTGCTTGAGCAGGGGGCTGGAGTAGATGACCTATCAAGTCCCTTCCCATTCTGTGATTCCATAAAGGTCTCCTGGTAGATCAGGAGGTTGGGTTAGTCCAACCGTTGGAAGTTAGAACCGCCCCAGAATCAAGCCACTTGTGAGGAGTTGCTTGCACTTAGAACAGTTGTGTGGCTCAGCCAAACCTCAATGGCATCCCGCAATCCCCATTTACAACCTTCCCATAGACCAGCGGTTGCCAACTGGTGGGCTGCAGCCCACAAGTGGGCCGCAAGAAAATTTTGAAGGGCCGCAGAGAAATCTCACTCCCAGAGCACCCTCCCCCAAAGCAATTAATCCAGGCTGCGCAGAAACACAAGGCTGTGCCGCCCTTATGGCCTGTGAGAACCTTCCTTGCCTACTCACTCCTTACCCAGCAAACTTGCCTGCTAAATTTCTATTTTTCCGACCATCATCTGTTCTGCTGTGCCGGGAGATTTAGATTAGCTAGGAAGCAGGAAATGGTTGGATTTCTTGCTTTCTAGCTAGTCTTTAGATCTTCGGCTCTGCTTTTAAGCACAGCCGAACCTCCCTCAGGACTGAAGGTTCTAAGGCTCACGGCAAGCAAATTTTATGTGACAGACTGAGTTAGCTGATGGCAGATTGAGTTGCTCACAGAATCATTCAGTGATCTATCTATCTGCCATCAGCTAACTCAGTCTGTCACATAAAATTTGCTTGCCGT